ACAAAGAAAAAATATACACATCATTGAAACTTAAGTCTAAACTTAGAAAACCCACATAGAAAAATCGCAAAAAAATATTCCTTACTTATTAAGTGTTTGATAAAATGTTTCAATGGAATTTACACAACAAATCCAGTTGATGGTATCTTCTCTTATATTTTTGTTTTCGGTTTGATTCTGTAGAGAAATGGGAATCATCCCAATAATTTTTTAACTTGCTTTTTGATAATGGGAATCATCCAACTACCAATATTATTCTTCTGGGTCTGTCTTCTGTTATTTTTTTGAATGGTTGTTACCAAAATCAAAGTAAATGGGTTTCGTGAAACCCAACCAACTCTTCATATATGTGTGTATATATTATCTGTAACAGAAAAAAAAAAAAATTGTAAAAATTTGTAATCAATATATATACACACAACGAAAACATTACCCATAAAAGTGTAACCAACTCTTCAATTGATGATCTCTGTGGCTTCAAACAAAAAAAACAAAAAAAAATTGTAATCAATATATATACACACAAAGAAAACCTTACAAAAAACCTTACAAAATTTTTTGGAGAACCTCATGAGGAATGAATAAATATAGTCAAGATTTTGGAGAACTTCACCGATTTGTTGCCGTGATGTCGTTCTACTTTAAGCATTTTTATTAATAGATATGATTCTTCAAGCATACCATCCCTTTGTTATATTAAATACCATAATTTGGTATTTTTAATGATGCAATATGATTAATAATTTGGTTATGGTATATATGAAGGGAGAAGGGTACCATAATTTGGTCCAAATCATATATATTAATAACCCCTTTGTTATATTAATGGCAAGGCTAGCACCGATTGGTGGGTCCAAATCGGTGCTAGCCTTGCTTTAATATATATGTAATTAAACCTTTAGGTACAGGCATACGCTAAAACGACATTTAAAATACTTATGATTATTAATACCGTACCTGCAAAATTGTGGAATTTATCAAAATTAGAACAGCATTTTAGGTGAATCAGTGGGCCAATCTCCATCATTGCAACATTAATTTGTAGCTCTATTTTTGTTGCTTCAGTTCTGTTTTTGTGTTCTTCAAACTATGATTCAACGATTAAAAAACAGTAATTGATCATTAGAATATATACAAAAATAGAGCTACAAATGGAATAAATGGGTTTCATCAAATTTAATGTTCTTCACTGTTTTCCTTTCATTCACTTGATTTTCCTATTATTCCATTTAAATAAGAAACTTAAATTTATACAAAAACAGAGCTACAAATGGAATAAATGGGTTCCTTTTTGTATATAGAATAAATGGGTTTCACTTGGTGTTTCTTCACTATTTTTCAATCACTGTTTCATACACATGATCAATCACTGTTTTATCAGGTGAAATCAGGTTTCCTTTTATTCACTGTTTTATAAGGAAAATCCACATGTTCTTCAAACCCACAAAATCAAGTGAAACCCATTTATACACTGGACTATACATACATGTATATATACACTAGACTATACAAAATCAAGTGAAACCCATTTATACACTGGACTATCAAGTGAAACCCTTTTTAGGTTTCGGGTCTAAATCAAGTGAGACCCATACATACATGTTTTCAGCAGAGAACAATGTCTCCATATCCGATTCAATATTCACCAGATCCTCCTAGCCTTAATACAAATGGAACCCATTTCAGACCCAAAACTTTAAAAAAAATTAAATTTAAATCCATTTAAGAAACAAAACTCAAAAATCAGAAACTCATTTAAGTTGGAAGATCAACCCACATGTCAGAAATCCGAAACAACCATTTAACTAAGAAACTTAAATTTAAACTTTCAAAACTCATTTCTCATTTCAAGATCAACCCAACCAAACACCCACATGTCAGAAATCAGAAACAACAAAACCTACAAAAGTTGGAAGTTCTAGTTTTCCTTGCAAGAGGAGAAAGCCGAAAGAGGAGGGTGAGAGGAGAGGAGGCGGTTGGTGGTGTCGTCGAGAGAGGATGACCCAAAGAGGAGAGGTGGTTGGTGGTCGTCGATATCGTGATGGTCTGTGGTCGTCGCACAGTAGAGAGAGAGAGAGAGAGAGAGAGAGCTCAAAAATTGAAATCAGAGAGAGAGATTTCCTTTAATTTACATTGGACCATTTTGGACCATTACATTTTGGAGGGAGAGATTTCCAACCGTTGATGCTCAAAGAGCATTTGGACGGGAAATAAACACATCCTAACCATTGAAATTTAGATAAAATAATTTAAACCATTAAATTAAAATATATCTCTAGAACATATTAGACATTTTCAAAAACTCTCCTCCCTTGTTATATAGATATATGTCCAAAATCTCCTTTACGTGGTTACTCTCCCGGCTCTTCGTTTGACTTTTTGCGCGCACAGTAATAGACCAGTGTCTCCCGGCTCTTCGTTTGACTTTTTGCGCGCGTAGCTATAGACCAGTGTCCAGTGGAGACATACAAAGGAAACGGATTTATCTATAATACAAAAGTAGTAAGATGATTATTGATCATCAGATTCAAAAGTGGAATAAGTCCGACCGTTGATTGCTAATTATGAACAGAAAACAATATATGACTTCACTTTTTATACTTATTTTTTAGATTAAATAATGTGCAAATGATATGATTGATTGATAATTAAAAAGATATAAAAAAAAATATTACTTTAAATATCTTAATTAATTATCACATCATTAAACTTACAAATTAGATATAATTTTTAAACTTGTGTAACAATGTCCATTATTACAAGAGTTCGTCCTTTTTAGTTATTTCAACTTAAAAAAAGGGCTTGATATATCTATTTTGAAATTGATTTTTGATAGTTTAAACTATTCACTTTTTAATATTTATTGAATAAAATATTTATATAAAAAATTAAAATAATTAAAATTCCATACCTATATGTTTGTTTTTAAAAATCAAGAATTACATTTATTTTTTCTAAAAAAAATGACGACGCATATAATTTTAAAAATAATATTCTGTTTTTTTTGTAATAACTTGAAAATGCTCATTAAAATTTGAAAAAAAAAAAAAGAAAAGAAAAAAATCCCTGCAATAACTTGTACATCGCTGGGTGATTATTACAGCACGTAACCTGGACCGGCATTATATAGGAAGGGGTGGTGAACCAACCTCAAAGGGCTTGTTTGATTAGGCAAATTACAGCATAAAATTACAATTATTAATTTATAAGATTCATATTTTATTATTTGATTTTAAATTTTATTATTCGGATTAAATTTTAATGGCTATTTTATCCTACAAAATTGATTAATTTTTTAACCTTATGACTAATAAAGCAAAATATACATGTAATTGGAATTATATGTTTCCATATTTATTGCAAAATAAATGTGGACAAGAGGAAATTATATATCTTACTAATCCAGCTGGATAATCAACAATACACTCTCATAAATTATTAATTCCTTCACTATTAATCCTTATTAATCAAACAAGCACCAAGTATTTGCAGACTATCAACTTCCGGAGCATAAATCTTTGGTGAAGTCATTATGAGCTCAAATACACCAACACAGGAATTTCCAGAAGATTCAAAAACCGGCAAAGCTTAATTCAGAGCATAAGGTGGAACTAGATCAAAACTTCATGAACATAATCAGAGGTCCAAAAGCCAACACAGACTCAAAGCCGGAATACCTTTCAAATAGAAAAGGCATTTAAGAATGCTGCTACAGTGAGCATGTGCAAGGAGTACAGAATTACAAAACCTGGAATGGAAAACGTGAACAACAATAATGGGTATAAAAAAAATTTAAAAAAAAAAAAGTGTAATTCAATTCCAACCATATTCACAAAGAAGAGGATGAAATTCCATGAACCTGAATAATAGTAATGGGTTTATGTAGGCATTGGAAGGTTCCGGAAGGTGTAAAGACATGCTAGAGTATGCTGAAAGGCTTTAGAATGTGGTTGAAGGGTCTAGAGTGCCCTAGAAGATTCCAGAACATGGTGGAAGAACTTTGAGGAATTCAGAGAAGTTTGGGTGAGTATAGAAGATCCTAAAATGTTGTGGAGAAGCTTACCATGTATTACACTAGTATAGAGAATTCTATAATGTAGTAGAATGGGTAGTTGTCTTAGATATTTCCATAAAATGTTCTAGATGAGAGTTTGTAGCCCTTTGATCAAAATGATCCTAGCCATCTATTGAGGAGGTGAATGGCTATATATGGGGAGAGGCGTCATTTGTAAGGATCATCCAAGAGGAGATCCAAGAGAGCATGCAGTTGTCCTAGAATTTTCTTTGTTTCTTGATTCCTAATGTCCTTATTTTCTTTTTGTAGTTTGCTCATCCACCATGCATAGAGAGAGAGCTTATAGATGCTTGTGTGATTGCTGGAGAGAAGCGAAAGGGTTTATAAAGTGAGAGAGAAATAGAAAGAGGGTTTTGATGAGTGTAAAGGCTGCCTTTGTGTGTGAATTGAAGAAAGATCAATAGATTTAGGGCAAGAGAATGTATTTGGTGAGGAATAGGTTTTCTCACCAAAACAAAAACTACTGTTTTGGATATTGAAATAATTGGTGACCACTAAATTTGTATTATGTTTTTTTCTTAATTATATACGAATAGGATCTCACTTTAATTCTATCTTGCAATTTAGGGAACGCCTTTGCTACTAGATCAAGAAATTGCTTTAAGTGAACTCAAAACCGCCTCACAAAAGGTCTATAACAAATAACAGTTACTCTAGGCTCAAGCTTGGACCCCTGCTATGTGCAACAACTCCTTGTCTATAATAGGTATCCTATCCTATTGCCTATTGCCCTGATGGTAAGGCTAACAGCTTCATAAACATGTGTGAATCACCCTATTTCAAACACGGACAAGGCATGGCTGGGAGAGTTATTGTAACATAGAAACCGTCACTTTGTTTAGATGTTACTCAGTTTAGTATTTTGGAAATCACATCATGCACTGGTTTCATAATTGACCTCCTGTTTTGCTTTTGAAGCATAGTATTTCATGATTGTCAAGCCAAAATTAAATAACCCAAAAAAAATAATTGCGGAAATCATGCCTCATATCCCCATATGGAATGCTATATTACATGACTAGATCCCTTTTCATCACCTAAAAGATAAATAGCATAGAATTTCATATATCAGCTATCCATAAGAACAAAAGATGCAACTTCTACCAAATATACAAACAAATCTCTATTGATCAAAAGAATATTATTGACACTCCCATTGTAAAGCATCCAGCAGCCACCCAAGGGCTCAAACGTTCACCTATTTCAAGTATCAACATTAGTCATTCACAGTGTGTAGAAAAACCAACAAAAAAGCAAGATGTATAGGCATGGTTAGAGATAAATAATCCCAACATTCTTGTCATTTTAATAGCTTAGCGTACACATATTACAATGGGTAAAAGTGGGTCAATCTGTGAAATGATTCAGAAGTAATCATAAGGCTTGAGCTTGATATTGAAAGGGACAACTGTGCCTTGAAATATTTATTCCCACCTCTGGTCCTTGAAATTCTATATGGCACTCGGTCCATAAATCCATTTGAATTTTGTTTGGCCAAAAGTCCAGGTGTTGAAATACTTTGTCCATAAGAACAAGTTTATACAAAATGACCAAAATAACCATGCATATATATATATTGCATAATCGATTTAGTAGTTCCCAAACCAAACCCACTTTTCTCACTCCTCTCTCTTTTCTCTTTCATCTCCAAATCTAGGGTTTCTTACATTTTGCCGCCGTAACCACCGCCTCACTGACCTCCTCTCTAACGTCACTGCCGACCGCCTCACCTCCAACTCCGCCCACCTCCGGCAATGAATGGAGGAAATAAGTGGCGGTGGTAGTGGAGGAGAAGGCACGTGAAGCGACACGTACCGCCATGACATCGCTGGGGAAGGTGCGAAGGAGCTGATTCAAGCAAGAGAGCATTCAGGTACTCATTTTGTGCCTTTTTAAGCTATATGTATGCATATGTATATGTTGTAAGGCATATTTGAGCACTCTCTCACTGTGTGTCACTGTACAGCAACATTGACGAAGTGATTTGAGTGAATAGTGTTTGCAAACATCACCTAATCCCTAGTGTTACAGAGAGAGGGAAAAGTGAAACCTGCCGACGACAACGTCGAGATCGAAACCTCTGTGTATGTAAGTAATTAAATCAGGTTTCTTGAAATCAAACGCAGAACTGATGCCACCGCAGCTCTAGATCCATCGCTCAAACCCTCTGCTATTTTTCTCTTATTTTTGCTTCTGTTTAGGTTCGTTTGTGATTAGATAGCTGTGTTTTTGATCTCTCAAGAAATAAGTTGTTGATTTGGTATTGAATCTAACTCAGTTGTGATTTTTACACACTTTTGGTTCAAATACTTTCATGTAAAAAGTATAGAATGGCACCCTTAAATTGGTTACACACACACACACACACACATATATTTCTTACAAAACAAAAAGTAAATGATTTCTATATCCTTTTTCCTTTGCTTTGATCCATTTTTCTTAAGAAACATTTTATTTGTACAATATTACTCACTACTGAATGGAGCCATCATTTGTTTGGTTTTCCTTGGTTTGTTTCTAAAACTTAACCAATTTTCAGATGACAATGGCATGCTTTGGTGTTATTGTTCAAAGTCATTTTTTTAGATTAGAACAAATCTTTCTCTTGAGGGAAGAGACCCGTGTTGGGATTTTGGATAGATAGAGGATAGAGATGCAGATCTTGAGGAATTTTTGGATTTTGGACAAAGAGAGGATTTTGGGATTTTGTGCAGATACATTAGAGGAAAAAATTGAACATATAATAAATTTTGGACAGATAAATTTAAACAAATAAGGGAATAAATTGAACCACATAATAAAATTTGGACAGATAGATTTAAACAGATAAAGAAAAAAATTGAATAGATAATAAAATTTAGACAAATATTTCAACGATAAAGAGAGAAAAACTAAACAGATAGGGAAAAAAATTGATGCCAATTTGAACAAATAGAGAGAGAAACCCACAAAATTTGAACAAATAGGGAAAAAAATTGAATAGATAAGGAAAAAATTCAATAGATAGTCAAAAAATTTTGAACAGATAGACAATAATTTGAATAGATAGTAAAAAAAAGTTGACAGATAAATTAAAGGATAAAATTGAAAACAAATTGTCCTTCAAAACAAATAAAATGACTTCTCACCAAACTATTTCACAAAGGGTGGACTTCTCACCGACAAAAAAATCCATTGAACCTAATGTCTTATATCCTCCTTAACTTGGACATTTCAACAATTTTCTCAATTCTATATGGGTCCATTTGAAAAAAATAGAAGAAAGTATGCAGTAAAAAGTGAAGTGAACGAAAGGAAAGTGAGAAGAAAATTTATTTTTTAGTATGCATTTAGTTAAGATGGAATTTTTGTGAGATAGTTCAAACAGGATACTACTTTCACGATAAATAAATAAAAAAAAATTCTTATATCTTCTGCAAGAAACGGAAAGTCAACTTAATATTTACTAACATGGGTTGTATAAGAAATATAACTTTCTTAATATTTTCCATTACTCTCATGCTAAACAAACACGGAAAAAAGTTCCAACTTTCTCTCTTCTCTGCACTTTCCACTACTTTCATCCTATCCAAATTCAGCCTGTGTAAATTCACAAGTCAAAGGCAGAATGCATATGCTGGACCTATTGAGGGGTTTGGGTTTGACAGAATGCATATGTTGAGTTTATTGAAGGGCTTGAGCAGTTCAATCATAAAACACTCTTTTGTATGGTGCCAATATAAGAAGGCTCAATCATAAAGTAGAGCTTAAAATATTCATGTATGTTGTGTATAATCACAATAACAATATTAAAATAGAAGTGCAGTGCTATGTGTAGGAGATTCTGGGAAAGCAAAGCAAATAGAATTTATCAGTCTACCTATTCTAGCCGCCTTCCAAAAGAAACCTCGGAAGCTGCCAAAGGGAAACAACAATCGATATCAACTTGATGCAAATATTAGCACATAGAAAAAAAAAACAAAAAAATAAATAAATAAAAAGTTAATAGCTGATTGATCTAGGTAGGAAGATAAAATTCTAAACACTCACACAGGCATCAATAAATGATGCCCACATCTTGTAATAATAACAATGAATTTTAATCAACATGGAATCCCACTCTCCTAAAATAATTCATTATACAAGAAACCAGAAAATGATTAGTTAAACAAAGTGTCATTGTCCCTCACCTTTCAAATATTCAAGTTAAACAAAATTTTCACGGTATCCACCACTGGATTGATCTTACATATAATATAAACTTGACAAAATAACTCTGACAAAATATCAATTCACTGACTTCACTGTAGAATTCTACCTCCACATTACTATTATGGCTACCATTAAAATTTTACAAGGCTAAATTAATAGCAAAACCTTCTAGGTATCTCTTTCTACATTCTGATTTATTGCCCGAACCTACTCCAATCTCATATAATATGTCATTTTCATCTCTCAGCTACATTCCTCTGTTAACTTCACAAAAGCATCTATGCCCTTTTGATGCACACGCATTCTTGCATTTTCAACAGTCCACCAAATACTATTTAATAAACTTTATTACAGGTTCCCTTTATATGAATAAAATATATATTGCATATGGGGTTTATGGAAGTCTCTGTCATGGCATGAAGGGAAATATGAAGGTGATCATAAAAAACAGACTCCCAAGAAGCTATTAACCTTGTACACCATGGGGATACCATGAATCCTTACTATAACTTAATCCTTCAAACAAGGCAGTTGCTCCAAAAAAAAGTTGAAATTGCCAGTTGGTTCATGTGGATGTGGTGGCTCACCCCTTTGGGTAAGGAGAGCTTCAGCCTTCCAGGATTATTCATATGTAACTTTTTATTGGGCACCTCCTGCAAGGTTGTTCATTCTATCTCTAATGTCAAACTGCATGAAACTTTCATACTCGCCAGTCACCCTAAAGTCTGATTCAAGCACTTTCTAAAGCTTAACTACATGAAGGTGCTGTATATTCTCCCTAAAGTCATAGTAACCTAAATAAGAAAGCAATCAAAGCTCAACCCACCAAATTTGAACTTTGTCCTTCACTGAGGTTATCATGTTAACTTGCATAAATCATCTGCACAACAATAATCGCTCCTTTCAAATTTCTAATTTTCTAATCCAAACACAGAAATCAATTGTCCACAATAAAATCGGCATCTTTGCATCCTATTAATGAGAAACAATCAGCTCATACGTTGGAGCAACCTCAGGAAGGAGACATATATATGATCCTATATCATATATACATAGACACACACACATATATTATATGTATTTGTGTTGTTGAAGAGATGAGAAAGAAAAGTACCCTGTTTTCTGTTCTAGGATGGTGGGGAATTGCATCTTGAGATATGTGCAGGTGCAAATCACCAAAAGCACAACAGTCAGAAACGAATGGAAATTGAATAGTGCCGACTGCGATTCGCAACAGAAAACAAAGAATGAACCATCAACCCAACATCAAGATCGAATTTTTTAACAACTTCGATTTCTGATTCACAACAGCAAAAACAAAAACAAGAAAAACCCAACAACGATATTAATCATTCGTTCACGAAAATTACCATGTCTTTTGAATTTTCTCCAACTGATGAGCGTTCTCTTCTCTGTTCTCTGTCTTAAGCTTTGCTTCAGATCTACACACAGAAGATGATTGATTAGCAAAGAGCAAAAACCAAATGCCTTGAAATCAGTTTGCGACTTTGTTAAAAGGCTTCTTCTTTCTTTCCCATCTATTCCTGAGACGGCGTCGTTTCCTATTGACAAGACGTTACTAACTTGTGATATCGGTGTCCTCTTCCGGGGCAGGAACCTTCTTGTTCCGGTTTATTTTATGGGTAAATTACACCCACACCCCATTGAAATTTCTGTATTAAAAAGTTTTTATTTTTTTTTATATAAAAAATTGATTTTTTTTTTATTTTTACTGAATTATTTTTAATATTTTAAGCAAGTTTTTATTTTTTAGATACACCTAATTTAGATATACTTAAGAAATATAATATTTTGTGATTTTTTTTAAAAAAAATTCACCAAATACAACAAAATGCAAAAATTAATAATATTTTAATAAATGTGAATGACAGTGTTTGGTAATACTGTATAAATGTTGGTGAATAAACGAGAAAGAAAAATAATTGTGGAAATAAAAATGAAAATTTCTATTCATATATAAAAATTTATACAAAAAAATATCATAAAAATATTGTGATAGTTATATTGTTATAAATATAAATCATATTTATGGATGTTTTGTTTTTTAAAAATTGTAGAATACAGTCATGACGATAGAAAGAATAAATGGTAGGAAAAAAAGGGTAAAATGATCATTTAAAAAATTTTAAGGTATTACATCAGCAATCCAGGAAGTAATTTGTAATGAGATTATAAATTTCAAGGAGGAAAATGTAATTTTTCAATTGTGAGGAGAAGATCTGTATTAAATACAAACCTCAAGGGTGTCAATGTAATTTACCCTTGTTTTATTTAGAACTCGAAAATTGTTTTTTAGTTTTTTTTTTTTTTTGTATATTATTTAATATTTGTTTTATAAAATAAGAAAATATTCAAAATTTGTTAAAACACAAGATATACAAAAAGAGTTAGTACGTTATATTACAATTAATCGCCCTGTAAATTCAAATCTTAAAATTTTGACCTTCTTAAAATTTTAAGGGATAATTACATGGATTGTTAAACCAACTGTTATGTTATAAAAAGTAATTCTTTAACAATTATTAAAATGTGTTAATCTTCAGAATCAATAATGTCATATGTTTATTACTCTCTCTGTCTTAAAATAATATTTTTTTTTAAGTGAATCTAACTTTTTAAGAAATTATTATGATTGTAATAATATATTTTCAAAATTTCAAATTTTCCCCTAATAGTAATTGCCTTACTCATTTTGATGGAAAATCAATTTTGAAATTCAAAAGTGTCAATGTGTGTGTAGTTTTTTATTCGAACTATTATAATTTTATTTTTAAAATTATTATTTTAATTCAAAAAAGAAAATTGCATAATGAGAAAATCACCCAATTTTATTTATTGACTTTTGAAAATGAACATTCATCTTGAGACATTCAAAAATGAAAAAGTAAACTGATAAAAAAGTAAACTGGTAAAATGGGACGAAAGGTTAATTATTTTAAGGTAAATTATTGATAATTTTCATTTAGAAGTGTTTTAATCTAAGAAGTCTATGAAGGAATTTTTTAACCTATTTAGTCCTATATATGTATAGTTTTATTCCATAAAATCCTTTTTCTTGATTTACACTATTTTCTTAGACACTTATGCCCTTATATTTAATTTTGATACCCTTGTAAATATTTTTTGAACAGTTAGCAATTCTATCATGTGAACATTCATATTTTAAAATTCACATTGGTAGAAATGTAAAATTGGCCTGTGGGCGACCCGAAACCCGCCACGCGAGCGGGGGCGAGCCCGGACCGTTGACAATGTGAATGTTCACATTGACACGTTAACATTCACATTAATAGGAGTGTAAAATTGGCCTGCATCCCGTAGCGGCGCGAAACCCGCCCACGGCCCATGGGCGGGCCCGATCCGACCCGTTGACAATGTGAATATTCACATTGACATGTTAACATTCACATTGATAAGAGTATAAAATTGGCCCCTGCGGCCCATGGCTGGCCAAAAACCCGCGCCGCCGCCCGGAGCGGGCCCAGCCCGCTCCATTGACAATTGAATATTCACATTGACATGTTAACATTCACATTGATAGGAGTGTAAAATTAGCCCATGCCTCGTGGCTGCCTGAAACCCGCCTACGGCCCATAGACGGCCCGGGGCAGGCCCGGCCCGGCCTGTTGACAATGTGAACATTCACATTGACATGTTAACATTCACATTGATAAGAGTATAAAATTGGCCAGCGGGCCTGACCCCCGCCCGTTGACAACATTCATATTCACATTAACATGTTAACATTCACATTGATAGGAGTATAAAATTGGCCAGCAGCCTAGGGCGGGCCCGACCCGACCCATTGACAATGCGAATATTCACATTGACATGTTAACATTCACATTGATAAGAGTATAAAATTGGCCAGCGGCCCAGGGTGGGCCCGACCCGGCCCGTTGACAACATGAATATTCGCATTGACATGGTAACATTCACATTGATATGAGCGTAAAATTAGCTCGCGCCTCGTGGCTACCCGAAACCTGCCTATGGCCCATGGGCGGCCCGGACCGCCCTGTTGACAATGTGAATATTCATATTGACATATTAACATTCACATTGATAAGAGTATAAAATTGGCCCGCGGCCCATGGACGGCCAAAAGCCCGTATGCCACTCGGGCGCGGGCCCGGCCCGGCCTGTTGACAGTGTGAATATTCACATTAACTTGTTAACATTCACATTGATATGAGTGTAAAATTAGCCCGCGCCTCGTGGCTGCCCGAAACCCGCCCACGGCCCATGGTGCGGCCCGGGGTAGACCCAGCCCGGCCTGTTGACAATGTGAATATTTACATTGACATGTTAACATTCACATTGATAAGAGTATTAAATTGGCCAGCGGCCCAGCGTGGGCCCGACCGGCCCGTTGACAATGTGAATATTCACATTGACATGTTAACATTCACATTGATAAGAGTGTAAAATTGGCCTGCAGCCCATGGGCGGCCCGAAGCCCGACTGCAGCCCGAGGCGGACTTGGCCCGACCCGTGACAATGTTAATATTCACATTGACATGTTAACATTAACATTGATAAGAGTGTAAAATTTGCCCGCTGCCCGAAGCTTGCCCGCGGCCTGGGATAGGCTTGGCTTGGCCCGGCCCGTTGACAATGTGAATATTCACATTGACATGTTAAAATGCACATTGATAGAAATGTAAAATTGGCCCGCGACTCGTGGGCTACCCAAAGCCTGCCCACAGCCCGGGGCAGGCTCGTTTCGGTCTAGGCCCAAACATGTTCGAGACCCTAGGTTAAGGCCTAGGTCATCACTTTGAAGCCTGGCCCGGCCCATCGGCCCACTTAAAGGCCCATTCAAGGCTCGGTCCGAGGCCCAACCCGCGCCGAGGCGCAATGTATTTTTTTGGAAAATAATAAAATTTTTGTAGAAAAAATTAAAAAGAATTAAAAAAAAATGGCCAGGCCAGGCCCGCCCAAACCCGACCTAAGCTCGAGGCTAGGCCCAGTCCCACCGGCCCAACCCGAGGCTTGATCCATCGGCCCGTCCAAAACCCGAATACCCTTATGCTAGGGCTAGGGCCTGGGCCTAATTTTTTTGGCCCGTGGGCCGGCCCGACCCGGCCCGGGAAAGGCTCGTTTGGGCCCAAGCTCGAGCCTAGTCCGAGACCCTAGGCTAGGGCTTGGGCCACAACTTTGAAGCCTGGCCCGGTCCATCGGCCCAATTAAGGCCCATTCAAGGCTTGATCTGAGGCCCGGCCCCCTCCTAGGCCTAGTGTCTTTTTTTGTGAAAAATAATAAAATTTTGGTAAAAAAAATTTAAAAAAAATGGCTAGGCTAGCCCCGGGCCGCCCACGGGCCGAAGGTGGGTTTCGGGCAGCCACGAGGCATGGATTAATTTTACACTCTTATCAATGTGAATGTTAACATGTCAATGTGAATATTCACATTGTCAATGGGCCGGGCCGGGCCCTCCCTGGGCTGTTGGCCAATTTTATACTCTTATCAATGTATATGTTAACATGTCAATGTGAATATTCACATTGTCAACAGGCCGGGCCGGGCCCGCCTCGGGTCGCCCACGGGCCATGGGCGAGTTTCGGGCAACCACGAGGCGCGAGCTAATTTTACACTCCTATCAATGTGAATGTTAACATGTCAATGTGAATATTCACATTGTCAACGGGCCGGGCCGGGCTCGCCCCGTGCCGTAGGTGGGCTTTTGGGCGCCCATGGGCAGCGAGCCAATTTTATACACTTATCAATGTGAATATTAATATGTCAATATGAATATTTACATTGTCAACGGTTCGGACCGGGCCCGCCCCGGGCTGCCCATGGGCCGCGGGCGGGTTTCGCGTCGCCACGGGACGCTGGCCAATTTTACACTCCTATTAATGTGAATGTTAACATGTCAATGTGAATATTCATATTGTTAATGGGCCGGGCCCGCCTCGGTCTGACTCGAATTTTTTCGGGCACCTACGAGGATCGACATGGGCCGGGCTCCTATACATTGACAATATGAACATTCACATTGACGGTGTGAACATTCACATTAGGGGCATTTTGGTAATTATGTCACCCATAGGACTTATTGAAACATAAGAAAATAATATGAACTAAATGAAACATAAGTAGATGAAAAGGGTATTTTGGTCTTCTTATCTCAAATAGGACCTAATGGAATAGTAAAAAAGAATATGAGTTGACTGGAATAAAACTCTTAAAAAGTGAATTTATCAAAAAAAATTTCATTATCTTATCATATCTCTTTTTTTTCTTCTTATACATTAGATGAGGGAGTGACATTTTATTTATAGGAATTTACTATTCAATCACTAACAATGACTATAATAAAAAAAAAAAAATTAAATAATAAAACTTTTTATTAATCTATTGTAACTATTTTTTAAAAGTTAGTCTCACAAGATCTTTGATATTTTAGTTAAGTTTTTATACATGCATAATTTAGATGTATCTAAAAAAAATTACTAAAATAAAAAATAAGCATATTTTTGTATTTTTATCTTGTACTCGACATTTTACTTTTTAAAAACATCTAATAAATTAGATGCACTATAAAGTTTTTGTTTTTTTTTTTTAAAAAAAGCTAAAATATAAAAAAATTACTATACACAAAAATATATGAAAATTAAAAACTCAAAATTAATTTTTGAATTTTAAACCAAACTGGCAGAAACGGAATTAGGAGAAGACTATAAGAGGCCATGGCCCCCTGTTTCTGTAAAAAATATGATTTGTCATAGCATTTTAAAAATATATCTCATTTTGTACATAAAATAGCTCCCAATATAAAAAATATATATCTTATTTTTCTTTTATCTTGCGCTCTCTTTTTATTTTGTACAAAAAAAACTTTATCTTATTAGAAATTACTTCTATAATGTTTAAATTTTTTTGTGTGTGTATATATATAATTTATATATCATATTGTACATCACGTGTATATGTTTATTGTGAAATTTTTTTACTTATCTTTTGAATCTCCGGCGATGAAATTCTGGTTCCCTCCTGCTAACTGGATGAGATTTCCGTGCATCCAAACATACCTTTTGGGAGCATTACATTCCCGCCTGAAAGGAACAGGTATATATCTCGACAGAACTGGATGCCAGCGAGGAAGGTGGGGAAGGGATGTCGGTGCCGACAGCTCTGTTTTTCTTTTCCGTTTTCTTTTTTTTTGGTTTGAAGGTAGGGAAGGGATGTGTGGGGAGTAGGGCTGTCAATGGATCGGATTTAACCCGAATCCGACCCGATAATCCAAATACGTTTACAAAAAATCCGATCCGATAACCCGATAATCCGAATCCGTTTAATCCATTTATTAAATGGATTGAATCTGCAAAAATCCGACCCGACCCGACAACCCGATAATCCGATCCGAGTATTCTCAATTTGAATGAAAAAAAACACAAAATGAAAAAAAAAAATCAAATTATATGAAATTGTAGCTCAACAAATAAATAAATGGATCGGATCGGATTATCGGATCGGATATCCGAAATCATCGGATTCGGATTCGGATATCTATAATCGGATATAGACTAAACGGATTCGGATCGGATTCGGGTTTGACATAATCGGATCGGATTCGGATTTTGACAGATCCGATCCAAATCCAATCCATTTACAGGCCTACTGGGGAGGGTGGCCAGAAGTCAAATTTTGGGGGGAAAAATTAATAATAATCACACCAAACAAAACGACGTCCTTTCAGTCAAAACGACGTCGAGCGCGGCAGGAAGGGCCGCAGGGAAGTGCGGCCGATGATCCGGACTCTCATATATCGACTATTTCATCTCCGTCTATCACTCCTTGGAAGTTCATTTCTCTCTCTCTCTCTGAGCTTCAATGGCTGACTCTGTCTCTAATCTCGTGTCTGCAATTGGTATTTGAATTTGTGGAATTAGATCTGTAACTATGGGGGATCTGAAGAGATGGTCCGTGACCTACACGAAGCACTTTAAGCAAAAGCGCAAAGTCTATCAAGATGGCTTCTTAGAGCTTCACAACTCAACCCACAAGGTACTACTATGACCACTCAATATCATTCTTCAACAATTCGAGACTGTGTGTGTATGTGTGTTCTTGAATGAGGTCCGATCGTTCACTCGGTTGAGCTATTTCTAGGTATTCCAGTGAAAATGCACTTGAATTTCAAGTTATTGTATGCTAATTTGCATGTTGTGAACTTTCAAGTAGTAGAAGTGAGTAGAAATTTAAAAGGAAACTAACATTTATGTTGAGACGATCAAAATTGTATCCTATGCAGTTTGCACCTTAGCTTGATTGATTGTGTTCTTACCTTTCTATGTAATCTGCTCGTTATTTTCTGGAACAAATAAACTCTATAGATGTTAATAGAAGAATTTAGGTTAGATATCATAATTCTAGCTTTTGAAGTGTACTTTTTCTTTTGTCTATTTTTTCATTCTCTACTTGATTGATGAGAAATCGTATGGAAAATGGACATAAGACTTGGAATTGCACTAGTTTGGCAATAATGGATTGCATCATTGCATGTTGATTCACCATTGATTAAGTATTTTTGTTAATCTGCCACAGATCATGCTCTACGACGATTGTGAGAAACTCCTGGATAGCAGACATGAAGGTGCTGTATATTCTCCCTAAAGTCATAGTAACCTAAATAAGAAAGCAATCAAAGCTCAACCCACCAAATTTGACAGGAATGTGAAGAAAGACGATGTTGTCAGATCTGGTGAAACACTGGCATTCGATGCTTATCTTGTTGACATCGGGGATACTGATGGAGATCATAAGCCAGTGCCTAATTTGAATTTTCAGGGAAGAGATGAGAAAATTACTAAGAAAGCTGGGTTGTTTAATGGGCATAAAGTCGAGCATAATTCAGATCCTATTGGTATCACCTTAATCCTTTTTTACTCTGTGGATCTTTAAAATACTTTGCTTTGCATGTTTCTTTTATCAAATTTTCAATAAAATTGTACTCTTTGGCTGTTCCTAAATACAGTTTTTTTGTCCAGGAAGCGGGAAACTGAATTCGGGGAAGAATAAAGCACCATCATCAAGAAATCTAAGCCCATCACAAAAAATTATTAGAGGTTGGTCCTATAGCGTTCATTGTCTCTTCATTTTTCATTTGCAAAGTGAGATGGTCGATCAGTCTCCTCTTTTTATTTCTGGTTAGGTGATTGATTCAGGATGAAAGTTTCTACCATAGGTACTTCATTTGTCAGTTTCTATTGGTTGAATGGGCAACACACCATTTGGTGAACATGCTTTCATGTGCTCTCTCTTTGTGAGATTGTGATTTTGCATGCATGCACCTCCTAAGCTACTGGAAGGTGTTAAGGTGGTTTTTGTTTTTCTTAATCCTGTGTTTTACAATATTTTCCCCTCCATAGACTACCACAGCAAAACCCTTCAATATGTACTTGTATCTAGCTAGCATATTTTTTCAATGAGCTTATAGAATGATGTACCTTTAATGGTTTTCTTTATTTCAGAATTCAAGAAGAATGAAATCAACAAGTACAGTTCACCGAGGAATTGTCCAGATTCTACAAAAGCCAGCCATTCTGGTCAGTTTGTACTGTTGTGCCTGTAACAGTAACTAATCCTTTGTGTTATTTTCATCAGATTCAAGAAACTCCCAATTAATCCTTGACGTGATTGTAAATGCTGGTTTTAGATTTGTTTTGTTCGAGAAAATAGTGGAAAGCATCATAACATTCTGCAATTGCAGGACCGACAAGTGTAAATAGACTTAGTTAATTGTCAGGTTGACTTTAGTTGGTTTGCATTTGTTTTACACAGTGCTCTCTCTCTCTCTCTCTCAAACACTCACTTCATTCGCATGCACATGCATGCACCTGCTCTCACACAGAAGGGGAAAAAAAAAAGAAAAAAGAAAAGAAAAGAAAAGAACAAAGCAAGAGTAAAAAATATTCTGAAATCAGAGCAATTGAAACATTGGAAAAACCAAGGGGCAGTATCTACTTGTCTTTTTTTTTTCCCTTTCTTTTCTTGGTTGTTGAAGGGAGGAGTTGATGTGTCTTGGTTGTTACCTCACTATCTCCGTCATTAGCCCCGACACAAAGATCTAATTGATTGTCTTGCATAGATATGAGTTTCATGTTTATCTTTTGTTTTTTTTTTTAATCTACTTCTTTTGCTAGTTGACAATTTTCTCTTTTCAATTGCAGAATGGTATGTGCTGTATACTACACAAATAATTCAAAAGCTCAAGAAGTATCACGATGGAATCTTAAGAGTCGCAATTTGTGGATCCCAAGGGAGGCAGGTTGAACTTCAATAGGTCCCATCAACCAATACCTCTATTGTTGTTGTTATGTCATTTTGGTATTTTATTGACAATCTAGTCAATTAACTTAATGATGCAACTATTGGTAAAGGATGAACAGATTAAGGAAAGATAGAAGAATTGTTTTGAGAAACTATTAAATGAGGAACATGAAGGTACAACAATAGGAGAAGAACTAGCTAGTAATACGATAAACTAAAACTATAAGTTCTATCGTAGGATTAGGAACTTTAAAGTGGAGATTGCACTTAAGAAGATAAAATCAAATAAGACTTTGGGACCCGATGATATCCCTATTAAAGCCTGAAAGTGTTTGGGTAAAAATGGGGTTATTTGGTTGACTAGGTTGTTTAGCAAAATTTTGTTAACTAGGAACATGCCAGATGAGTGGAGGAAGAGTATTTTAGTGCCAATTTATAAGAATAAATGAGACGTCCAGAATTGCAACAACTATAAAGGAATCAAGCTAATGTGTCATATAATGAAAGTGTAGGAGAGGGTGATGGAACGCCGATTGCGAGATATAACAGAGGTTTTAAAGAATCAATTTGGGTTTATGTCTGGCAGGTCAACAATGAAAGTGATATATTTTTTGAGGAGAGTAATAGAAAAATATAGAGAAAAGAAAAAAGATATTCATATGGTGTTTATTGACCTTGAGAAAGCACATGATGAAGTGCCTTGGGATATAATATAGTGGGTGTTAGAGAAGAAATGGGTGACAAAAGGCCACATTGATGTAATTAGGGACGTGTATGAAGAGGTGGTGACCACTATTAGATTGCCTGCTGGAGAGACAAATGAATTTCCTATCACTGTAGGATTACACCAAGGATCTACCTTAAGTCATTATCTTTTTGCTTTAGTTATGGATGAGTTGACGAGAAATATTCAGGATGACATGCCATGGTGTATGTTTTTTGCAGACGATATTGTGCTAGTGGATGAGACTAGAGGTGTTAACACAAAGTTGGAAATTTGGAGAAAAGTTCTTATATCTAAAGGATTCTGAATAAGTAGAACTAAGACAGAGTACATGGAGTATAAATTTAGTAACAATAACAATGAAAGTAGAGGAGAAGTGAAGATTGAGAATCAAGAACTGCCTAAGAGTGAACATTTTCGTTATTTAGGATCGATTATCACAACAGCGGGGGAGATTGATGCGAATGTGACGCATAGGATTAAGGCGGGATGGTGTAAGTGGAGAAGTGCATCTGGGGTATTGTGCAATAAACGAATATCCATTAGACTAAAAGGTAAGTTCTATAGAACGGATATTAGACCAGCGATGTTGTATGGGACAGAGTGTTGGGCAACCAAGAATCAACATGTAGATAAGATGGGGATGCTAAGGTGGATGTGTGACAAGACTAGACAATAAAAAATTAGGAATGAGTGTATTCGGGAATGGGTAGGAACAATATTGATAGAAGATAAGTTGAGAGAAAATTGATTGAGATGGTTTGGTCATATTCAACGGAGACCAATAGAGACAGTAGTGAAAAGATGCAATGATGTAACAGTAGATGGAAGTATTAGGGGACGGAGTAGGCGTAGATTAACGTTGATTTGCCTTGTAAATAGAGATATGGATCTACTTAATTTGACTAACGAAATGGCCTTTGATAGGGCAGCATGGAGAAGAAGGATTCATGTAGTCGACCTCATTGCATGGGACTTAAGGCTTGGTTTGGTTTGGTTTGGTATGCAACATTGCCAAAAAATAAATGGTAATTTCTTAGTGATTGTAAATGCTATATAAGAATGTGAAAGTACTGAACATGTGATGATGTGATAAGAAAGTGGTGCTACAATGAGTAATGGCTAAACCGATCCTTTGTATTCTTGTCAGATACTAAAGATTATTAGACTGATCTTGATTGTAGAAACTCATTGTTATTGCTAAATTTTCCAAGGCAAAAGAGGAAATGTTGATGCAACTAAATTGGGTGCCTAAAACTTATCAAAAAAAAAACTAAATTGGGTGCCTAAAGCACTTTATAATTTGTTATGCTACTAATAAATTTAACCCAGCTATGTTTTTAACTGAAAGTGAACCTTGAAAATGAGTTTCTGACTTTGAACCATCCTCACTCATGGTTTCTTCCCATAAATCTTAAATTTAGGACATTTTGGGGAAAACATCACTGTGGTTGATTATCAGTATGCGAAATAAAAATATGGGATTATGGTTTTATAATTTGAGGATTGCAGTTCACCTCCTACAGAACATAATTAAACCTGTTAATTTTCAAAATTCACAGGTGTGACTTTCTCAGGTTGAAGTGCTTTTATTTATTCCTTTTTTCTTCTCTCTCTCTCATGGTGTTTTTGTGGTGTCTTTGGATTCTTGTGCATAGAATTCTTTATCAGTTTCATCGAATTTCTAGGATCTACATACTTGCAATAAAAGGTAACCTTACAACAATTCTAGAAGTTATGTTGGGAGGTGCCCCCATTTCTTTGCATGACACTCACCCGTCGTTCTCCTTACAGTAAATTCCTAACTTCAGAACTTATTCGATGGTAATGCATTTGCGCATCTTCTTTATAGTGATATTTTATTTTAATTGTTACTATTTTAGTTGTTACTGCCCTTATTGTTTATTGTTGCTTTGCATTTCTGTCCATACAAAGCACAATTAGCTCTCACACTCCTCTTCTGTGTCATCATGCAGGTTACACTGTATGATGTGAGCAGGAGACTCTTAGATGTTAGGTTCCTTAAGAAGGAAGAAGTGATTGGATCTGGTGAATCACTAGCTTTTGATGGTCATTTGGTTGACATTGGAGAACCTGAAGGAGACAATAAGCCTGTAATGGACTTGAAAGTTCAAGAAAAAAATTGCACAGCAGGTGACAAAACAGGATTATCGCATGGACAACAGGCCCAGCATAATTCATCTGTTGGTATGCTAATTTTTTGCTAAATTGATCAGAAACGGCATCTACTCTGTGTGTGCTATTTGAGCTAAATATTTTTTTTTTGTCACTAAAATGTTTTTTCTTCCATCAGGTGAATACATACTTGGTTGCTTCTTTTTCTTATTTTCAGTTTTCTTGTTTTGTTATCTAACAGATAATGGAAATTCTTGTTCAAGTAACAGTGTGTCACAACTGCGTTGTCTTAAAGCTGTTAATACATCCATGAGAGGTCAGTACAAGTTGATGGATCTTTCATGGATGTTTAATATATTGTTTCTTCTGTTTCCATTTGATGCCTGAAGGTAGCTTTCTCTGTTAAAGTCCTCATCTTCTTTTAGAGGTCACTATTTTATTTGTATCGTGAATTAATTGGTTTCTTCTACCTGCATGAATCAACATTTTGTATCTGTGTAGACCTATTTTCCTGTATCACTGTGAGATCATTTCAATCTTTGAATGAAGCCTCAAAAAGGAAATATGCACAAGTCTTTGATATTGCCAATTTTAATGTTCTTAAAAAACGGCATTTGGCTTTCTGTATTTTTTCTCTACTATTGCTTACGTACTTATATCATTTACATTGCAGAATGGAATGCTCTATACACTACTCAGATAACTCAGAAGGCTAAGAAGTACCATAGTGGTATCCTCAGGCTAGCCTCTTGTGGTTCCTTCCAGATGCAGGTTGGTAAATGTGCTCCTGAACTTGAGTGTTTCTGTAAATCAAGTTAGAACTGCATTTCCGTCAAGATAGAATCATGGTTCAAACATTTGAATCCTAAAGAAATAAAAGAAAAGATGCCAAGGTTATGTAGGTTTATTGATTGGCCTTTGTATCCTAGAGACTTAATTTCCATGACCAGCCTTCATGACTATGTATCTTGATTAGGCTGTAACACGATGCTTGGTCAATTACTCAATATAACTCAGCAACACAGGGAACGCAGGCTACCTATTCATGAATTCTGTTGGATGACTCCATAGCTAGGAAAGCTCATGAACTGCATGTATTTCAGTGAATTTGAGAGGTTTACTGTGCATGTAAAATTTAGAAATTATACAGTAAACAATATATTGGATTAAACTTCAGGTGTTCTCATGGAACACTCTCTCCCAATAACCATTTCATTGGGTAATTAGTTGGTCAAGTTTTGTGTATCCCTTCTACTAGACTAATCTTGTCAGTATGTCAGGCTACTTTACTGAATGAAGATGGAACCATTCTGAGCCGTAAATATCTCAAGTTATCCGAAAATGTGACAAGTGGGAGTACATTTGAACTGCCAAAATATTTGGTAGAGGTTGGTGAGCCACGGACAAATCTTGAAGGTATTGTTTTTCTCTTAACAAGCAAATCTTTGCATCTCATTTTATCATTATGTTGAATTATTAATTTCCAGTTGCTATATGGCATCTCAATGTATGGGGAAATTCTATTTCCACATACCCTTTTATCTCAGTGTACATCATATCTCAGTTCACACACTTAATGAATTTGAAAAAAAATGTTTTACTTAGTACACAACCCTTTATACTAGAAATACCCTCTTCTTCATCCTTTCACCACCAACCCTAATCTCTAACCCTAACTAGTCACTGTCGCCACCTCCACCATAGCCGCCGCCGTAGCCCACCCCAAAATACTACGACGCACTGTTTCCAAACTTTCTATTGCCTATACAACTAGAGAGTTCACACTTATATTGCACCCTAATTGATATAATTTATTCTGAAAGACCGAATTGCTGCATGCAATTGAAAAGAAAAACTGCAAACTTGACATACCTAACTCGATCTCTTTGGATAAGCTTTTTAAATGGCTTCTAACCATTGATTGCACTTGTTCCTTTTCTACGTAGTGGCTCACCTCTCTATATCTATATGGGGACATGCTATCATCAGCAATGCTTGATCTGCTATCACACGGATGGAGTTGTTGCTTGTAACCCAATCTTGAATTCATACCCCTACTGAGGCAGTCAAGGGAGGAGGCCGTCGGTGGTGCGGCAATTGGTTAGGGTTAGAAATTTTTGGGTGGCTTGGAAATTAGGGTTTTGGATGTGGAAGATAAAAGGATATTTTGGTATTTTTATTTTAGGATAAAAATGTAATTAAATTTTTTTTTATTAAGTCTGTGGAAATAGAATTTCCCCAATGTATGGCATTGATTTTGGAGTTGTACTTCTTTCCTTTTCTATTCCCCTAATTCCCCTATGTGCTGTTTTCAAAGGTTCTAATCTTTCCTTTTAAAACTATTGGCTTGGATGTGTAGAAAAACTTCCAAAAAATGCTTTTTCAGAAAAAGATGTGGCTTCAAATCTTACTAGCTTTGATGTTGACGATTTCAAATTGGGTAGGAGAGTCCCTACAGACATGCCTTTACGTGATGGTAAGCTGATTGTCACTTGGTACATCACTTAACAAAAACAGTTTTCTCCCATGTAATTCTGATTTTACTTCTTTTCTTTATTTATTATTATTATTATTTATTTTTTTGTTCATTGGTTTCTGATTGTTTTATGTTATCACCCATACTATGTAGACAGAGTATAAGTTAATAAATTGCCGATAGCATTTCACCACTGGGTTCATATATGAATAATATATAGGGCTCCTCAAAAATGGCAAACCATTTTTTAATTTATCACAATTACATGAGTTTTGCTTATCACAATTGATTCGTGCTTGAATTGAGGTTCCTAGGCTAAAAGCCTTGTAGTTCCGTGATGTTCATTTTAAATCAATCATACTTCTGTTATGTATTCAAATAACATTAAGGATTGTTTTGTAGATCTATGTTACATGGACTCGAGTACAAATATTGGGTGTGGGTGCATGTCCAAGTATTAGATCTTCCTAAATCAAAATTTTAGAAGATTGGGATATGCATTCAAAAGTTGGGTATAGGTATGGGTACAGGTACGGGTACGGGTACAGGGACACATCTGAAATCACTTATATATATATATATATATATTACATATTGTATAATATTCTTAGATGAGATGTTAATTATTTAGAAATGTACTCCAAATTAAATGAGTTTTAAGAAAAATATGAAATTTATATCTCATTTGTGTGAGATAGTAGAAATAGTTTTTTACTAGCAAATGTGAGTGCCTTCTTCAAACATCATCTATAAGTAGAGGATCCGAATGTCTAAATTGGGTAAGGGTGTCAAACACATATCCCACATCCTCATGCTTGTCATACCAATCCACTTCATCAAAATTGGATACATACCCCCTCCTCTATGGGGTTTTCATACTTTCTGTTTCTATTGGCATTTGTCTGTTCTCATCTTTGCACTCTGCTGCATGTGATCTCTTTAGTGATATTGATTTCCACTTTTGCAGCCAATGAAATTTTGACTATTCTGAGAAAACCTATGACTAAGGGGGGTCACGTGCCCATAACAAGCGCATCATTGGAGCATTGTCATGCTTCACAATCTCCAGAATTTATTCAGTTTGGTCTTCAGAATCAGGTAGAGAGACATCTTGTGCAAGAATCCAATTGTGAGAGAAATGAAGCAGACAATCATGATGAAGGAACTGGCAAAAAGCATAACCCAGTAGCACTTCATGATGATATCAGAATTGAGATTATCAAATCGGCAGACTCTGAGAAAAGAGGAGAGTCACAGCTCAAACATTTTACTCCATCAAGTTCCTCTATGCGGTATGTAATGTGTTCTAGGTGTGAGAAACAGATTTTTGATGATATGGGGAAATGCACATACACAGATAGATGCATGTGTATAAAAGATCTTAAGCCAAAATGCTTGTATTCATGAAGTCAGGGTTTTCTTCTTTGATGTGGTTAATTTTGCTCCAGCATTTTCTTTGTTTGAATTTCGAACTGGACTTCAGCATCCAAAAGACCCATTGCATATGAAAAATAGCTTAAAGAAAATGCAATGAAGGACCTCTGGGTCGTGGCCCATGAGACTACAAAAATCAAACTCTTTGCATATGAGTTTGCTTAATATATAATTAATTCCTCTCTTTTCTTCTACATAATCATTTGGATATAACTCCTACCACAGAAGGAAATTTCTTTTTTTTTTCTTTTCTTTTTTTTTAAATTTATTTATTTATATTAATTGGGGTGTTTGGATCTTCAACAGAAATTATGTCATTTCAATTTTTCATAGCGGATAAAACAATTCCCGTTGTTTTTCTAAAGCATTTTTGGGAATTCAAGGAATGTCATCACTCTTAGGTGATAAATCAGTTCTTTATGTTGATGATTGCATGTCTGGTAAAACTATTATGCCTATAATTTCATACATACAAAAACAATTGCTGCCTTCGATTTTTAATATTTCATAGATCAGTTATACAAATAATGACTTTTGTTAATGATGGTTTATTGCAGATCGGGAGCATCCAAAGTCTCAAGTTCCAATTCTGAAGCAGAGCGCACTGACAAGATCATGTTGAAGCCAGTTTCATTTATTGAGAAGCCTCAAGTTGTGGACGTTCTTAAGCTAACTTGTCCTGATGATTTGCAACCACCAACTGCATCAGTGCCACAGGATGGTACAAACAGAAATATGGAAGACGATTCCCTCAAATTAATGTCGTCGAAAGGCAAGTTTTATTTATCATTTTATTGACACTTTTCACAATGATATCATTTAATCTGCAAATATCCAGAGACCTAACCTAACAATTATTTCTGCAGCTAAACCTAGCTCCCATGGTGACCCATTCTCCGAGGAACTGAAAATTGAAACTTCACCCCAGGTCTGAGTTTTCCTGTTCTCTTGTTGATATTTATTGCTAGACATTTTTGGATTGTGGCCAGATGCATGGACTCTTTGTCTGAATTCAAAGTAGGAGCTTTTGTGAAAACCTCAGTATATATATATATATTGCTTATATTGCTGCATGAAAGATTCATATTCTTTTCTTTCTCATGAACATCCATCAGCATTTGTCTATTTTTCTGCGGGGCCCTGACCATTTATGTTTGTTCTTTTGATGGCATTTTGTAGCCTAATGAAGAAAGCTTGGAAATTCTCACTAGACAGCATGAAGGAGCTTTTTTTTCTTGTGGTATAGAGAATTCAAGCGGCTGTATATCTCATGAGCCCAGCGATATTGGAAAGAAGAGTTCCGAGGTGTACAAGAGCACAAGAAAAATGGATGAAATCCCAAGTTTCGATCTTGGATTTTGAACAAGGCCGCTTCATCCTTTTTAACAATATTAATACCGGTGCCCTATTATTTCAGCGTGCCCTATTATTTCAGTGTTGATATACATGGATGGAATATTGGATACAGAGAGAGCGATGAATTCAAGTAGCAAATCAACAATCTGTTGTGAAGCAAAAACAATATAAAAAGCATGTTATGTTATCAACTGATATGCTCCTTGCAATGCTTCTTCTTTAGCCTCTCTATTGTTATATATGTATCTTTATAGTCTCCCATCCTTTTTCTGCTTGCGCATGCTAAGCAAGGCTCTGAAGAGAGGTTTGCTTTTTCTGGAATATTGTTGAATCTCTTTTGTCATGTCCTTTTCACCATGTATACTCAATGAGGCCGATCTCTGAAGCTCCGATGAGTACTGTCAAAATATGCATTCAATAGGTTACATTGATCAGTAATTATATACTGAAAATGTTCTGGTTTGGCAATGCTTACCCGTAGTTTAGCATTTGAAGAGTTTGGGATGATCGAGCTACTAATGAGGGATCCAGAACGCTGGAGTGAAATATGTGATGAAACTGGTTTTCTCTCTGTTTTCGTATAGATGTGATCATTAAAATATTTCGAAGTATTGTTGAATCAATATTGAAATATATCCATTTGGACTAACCTAGTTCTTTGTTGGATAGAATCCTGGTGAAGGAAAATGTTCTAGGACTCGAAGTAACCATTGAAGACAACCTAGAATTCCCTTTTCTGGATAATGTCCCACCAAAATTAGAGCATGAGCTTATGTAAAAGAGAATGCACAAACAAGTTCATAACAATATTTGGGTTCTGAAGCCAACATTTTTACCTTACTGTGGATGAAGGGGGCTTCATTCTTGTCACTTGAATATTTTTTACCAAACAATCAACAAAAAGGGTCGTTAGCTTTGTTCCATGACTCGAAGATTACAAAAGCATGGGTGTCTCTATTTACACACCCCATTTTAAGGCACACTATTAATTGATTATTTTTTTATTACAATAATAACCTTATCTAAAATGACCAAAATGATCAAAGACTCGCCTTAGTTGAATACACAACCTTCATTAGTTAAATTACCATTTTGGACAGAATTCTAATTACACACCAACCCTAATAATCTGTTACTGGCATTTTTCACGTCAACTACACAACACTAGCAATATATATTTTATGTATGTATTCAAATCCTTTGAATTACAATAACCCAAACCCAATTGGATCCAACAAGTGCTGAGAGAGAGAGAGAGAGTGACAAGAACTCAAAAAGATTATGCAAGATTGAACCCTAGAACTGAAATGAGCTCACAATTGAAGTAAAAATTCCAATTTGCTCAAAACAGAGAGAGTGACAAAAACAAAAAAAACTCAAAAATTGTTCAAGATTGAACCCTAGAACAGAAATGGGCTGATGTAGTATATGAGAATCACAAAAAAAAAAAACTAAAAACCCAGAAAGAAAACACCCCAATTGAACCCAAGAATGGTTGAAAAAGGAGAGAGTGACAAGAACTCACAAGATTGTCCAAAGTGTGAAATCAAAGAAAACCAGTGAATCCAAAGGGAAGTACAAGAAGATCAAAACTTTGATCAACCATTGAATGAATGATCCATTACAACTGGGGTTTATCAAGAGGTTTGTGGCACTTTGGCATTGAATGATCCATTACAACTTCCATTTTTCATGATCAAGGTGATGAAGATGATAATGATGAGATACGAAGCATAGAAAGAGTTGGAAAAATTAAGGTATTCTGGTTTTTTTTTTTTTTTTTTGGAGTTTGAGGTGTGTACCAAGTGGTGGGCAGTGAGGACAAAAATGGAACGTTGTGGTGTGTGTTAAGAAAAATTATGTTTTTTCAAATTATTAAATGTGTGAATTGAGTAATGGTGTGACTTGAGACCAAATGTGGTGTGTAAATAGAGACACCCCAAAAGCACACAAGAACTTAGAACATCAAACATGGATACAAAAATAGAATTGAGTCTTAAAAAAAATAATAAAAAAATTTAATACACAAAAGGTCACACACATCTTTTAAGAAATACAAGCTGCATCAATGATAGAAAGAAGAAAGAAATGTACCAAGTTTAGATTGATACGAATTACGTTCAGCACATGGGTTGCAATTGTTAAATATTGATTCACTCTTGCCAATAGCGTGCATTGTCTCTGCAGCTAAACGAAGAAAAGTAAGTCACCAAATACTCAGATACACAAAATATGATAGCAGAACAAATTTACCTGGAATAATATAGTGTTTGTGGTGGAAAAGAAGAAATAGCTTATACTTCAGACACTTTTCTCTCCTCTCTTTTCTCTTTTTCACAATTCTAAGATCCAAATACGGCCTTAGAAATCATAAATTTTGAGGAAAAGTAAGATTTAAGTTTGACCCTCTTGAACATTGAAGGTACTATATGCAACAAAAAGCTAACCTATCTTTGAAGACCACTCTAAAAGACTGAATGAGAGGTAAAAGGTTAACAAAGAAGAAAGTGAAGAAGTTCTAAGTTGAGTATAGTATGGGGGTTGGGTTTGTCAAGAGCAAGATATGAGGATGGTGAAAGAATGAAGAAGTGACAAGACAAGAATATCAATAATACAAGTGGGAAAGGACATGTTGTGGGGTGCATGTTTTTGAAAGCATTTGTTTCCATTGGAATCCAAAACCACTTTTTAAAGCAAAAACAATCTACTGTCATAAACGAACAACCACTCTCTCTCAGTCGACAAGAATTCGGCAATCAACCTTATTTGGGAGAAAATGTTTTTCATTTTGAAATGTGGAAAATATTTTTCACTTTTGAAATATAAAAAATGTTTTTTTGTATTAAAGTCATACCAATGTCACGATATTATTTCCGCCGCCCCACCATTACTCCCACGACCTTCATCCCTACCACTAATACAATCACTAGTACATTAGATTTAAGGTCGGTATTAAACATAAGATATTATTTTTTAAGGAACATATTTTCTGAAAATAAGCAAAAAAAACTTTCCTAAGAAACATTTTTTTTTTTGCTAATACAAACAAAGCATGCATGTATCTTTATACTTGTGTACGAACAGAAGCAAACTTACAAAAACACCACCCCCCAAAAAAATAAAAATAGATAAAAACAAAAACTGGCTAGTATCTTGATAGGCCATTGTCATTGAGAGCAACGTTGCCTATCTATCTACACATATAAATGTGAAAAGGGACAAGAAGAGGATTGAAAAGAAATGCAATTATAGATTTGTTATAGAGTAGTTGAGAATTCCTCATCCCATGGTTGGAAATTAGGACGGTACAATACTCTACTAATTTGTGACTGATGCCCACTTCCTAAGGGCCAACATATCATTTAATTCCATTAGACCACAAACTTTAATTGGAAAAATTGTCGGTAGACTATCTGTACTCAGAAAATAAAAAATAAAAATTTGCATACAAAATTCTTATTAAAGCAAAATTCAAAGAGAACAAGATAAAAGGAGTTGTTTATGTAACTTGTATCATCAAAACAACAAATCTTTACCGTTAGACTAAGCATGTATGAGACGAGTTGATCACAAGGACGATACACGAGATTCTTATTAAAACAGAGTTTGCAGAGAATAAAATAAAAGCAGTTTCTATAAGTTGAGTTTACCAAAACGACAAATTGTTGTGCCACGCATGTATAAAATGAGTTGATCACCACGACATGCAAGGTCAGTTCGTGTGGTCATAACACCACTCTCCCTATAAAATACGGAGAATAAATGTGGATCATCATTTCATTAGTGGTGTAATTACTAACAGAGATTATTTGATCATATTGTACATCAATTGATGGTGTACCATTCTGTGTTTGCCCAGTAGTTAGTGCCTTTGGTTGGGGTTAGAGACCCAATTCAATTCTTATCAAATATGGTAGTTGGATCTTTGGAGGTGAAAAGAAGAAATTCATTACCCTATACATGTACATGAATCTCAGTAAACTGAAACTGTGTTGTTTGGTAATACATGGAAACATAGTTCACAGAGCCCACAAATTCAATCATCTTGAGTTCAAACGTTTTGGCTGTCTTTCCTATTTAACCAATTGTGATTTGCAGATGATTGCCAATATCTGGAGTTTACTCTGTAATGGTAAATCTTACCTTCAAGAAATTCCTTGTCAGAAATATAAAAATAAAAATAAAAATATATATATACTCATACATATACCTCACAGGAGGCAAAAGTCAATGCTCATGGATGACATTGTCCAATATTCTAAACCCGGACCACTTCAAATGATGCAACTGGCTGCTATTGATCATGACGTTAAATAAAATAAGATTGAAACCAGACCTCACCTCAGATATATAAAAGCATAATTAATTTGTGATCCAATCATCTACTAGTCTTATATGCAACTGATTCAATTGGGCAGAGTTCAGTTGTAATTTTTACCCCATGGAATGATTGCAATTACACAAAACAGTTTTCACTGCAGGGAACGGATCTAAATGTGTACTTTCCAATACCAAACAAATTAAATAGAAAAAAGTCTAATAAATTTAAGGTGGGAAATTTCTTCAAAGCAATATAATTTTGCGTCAGGAAGATAGATCATAGAGTGAGGAGCACAAACAACCCTAGAGCAGCATGTCTTTCACACTATCCGCTCCAACTCCCTTGCGTAACTGAGTGTCTGGTTTATTAGTTGCAGAGACGGGATCTCCTTGCAAGGTGCAGATTCTTTTGCCCTCTGGAAAATTACAAACCCATTCTTTATCTCCCACTCTGGATGCTCCTGCAAATTGCACATAAAACAATGCTTATCAAGAAGCCCTTAAATTGGACACTAAATAACATTACAAGGCTTCCATGTTGGTGGATTATGGTGGCGTCATTAATGTAATGATAATATGAATGACAAGACACCCATAATCCATCTATTGAAATTTAAAATCCCTATTCCCAAACAAAAATTGAAAATTTAAACTTTAGGATTCGAAAGTTAAAAACCCTAAAGGAGGAGAGACCACATTGTTTTGAGAACAAGAATTTACTCACTACTGCTCTTGGCAGAAAGAACAACAATATGAAGGAAATGAGCAAACCAAGAATGACTTTCAATTAGATGCTTAGTACTGCCCTTAAACTATAGACCATCAAAGTAGATCTAGCCAGTAATGCATTCCATTGATTAACAATAAGGATAAAAATGAGTTAAGCAGCAGGAAGTTTACCTCCTTGATATACTCAAAAAGTTCTTGGTCAGAAGAGAACATCAATATTTTTCGGGCATCATTAATTGAAAGTGAATCATAGGCCTTTTCACTGCATCCAGATATTTCATCTCTGCAAGAGACAATAAGCTACTAAGCACACAAAACTGACCACTTATTCAAAATGAATATGAATTAGATATGGGATGAACAATAAGAACAAGGTCTTTCAACTGAAGTGACAACCAATAACCCCAGAGTTGAAAACACATAATTACATGTCTATTCTCATAAGAAGTAATTTTATGTGTGTATAAAATCAAATACATTGTCAGTGTTCCATACACATTATGTGTACCATTGTCACTAACTTGATATTATGAACAAATGTAGGAAAAGGGAAAAGGAAACACAATAACCAAAACAAATATGTAGACTCGCACTCGCTCACCATAATGTAAATTTTAAAGGGAAGTCAAAGTTGCTACCACGTAGATGACATGCATATAAAAAAGCAGTACTACCCGCAAACATGAATTTGATTGGTATTACTGTTACACAAAACACTAAACAAAAATTAACTATTAGCTTCAACTGTCCTCCGGCAACCTCTCATAAATGCCTCCTTTTTTCACTAATAATAAGTGCTATTATGAAACTCCCACCCAAAGGAATAAATGACTAAAGTCATATGAACTCCCTAAAAAAATGCTATAGCATTTGTACACTGTCGTCATTATTTCAACTTCTATCCTATGATCCTATCCTTTTAATCACTGGCATAAGTCACACAGCTTACCTGACTGTCTTTGCCAGCAGGTCCATGAAATAAACATAAGTTTCATGGGGTACAGTCTGTCTTGCACTCAAAACACGATTGTAAGCCCCTTCCATGAACGATTGCTCCAATTCTACTGCATGCTTGATACAAGGATTCTCCAGAGCAGTGGCTGAAAGCAATTCCAATTCAGTATGGAATTCAGCAATTCTATTCTGCACAAGAAGTCTCAAAAGGTTGAGACCTAAGATGGGATACTCCTGAGGGGATGGCAGAAGACGGCCACTGCTCCATCAGAAAAAAAAAAAGAAAAGGGCATGAACATTATCTCTCAACCATGTCAGTAATAAAAGAGAGCTGTTGTCACAAACATATCAGTAGCAAGAAAGTTTCTTGAACCAGATAGAGATAAACAATGAGCATGCCTCAATTAATATTCGGATTTAAGAAAAAATTAAAAATGTAAAGTCATCCAGAAGAACTAAAATATGAAGGTCATCCAAAAGTACTAAAATATGAAGGTAAAGACAGGAGAAAGTTACCATGCATCTGTATAGTAAGGTTTCAGCTGAAAGAAATCCCTCTCAAAGGCATCCTGATCCTCAATCTTCACACTCAAAACAACAGCATGCTCATATATATCCCCTGAAAATTTTCAGTCACGGATATTATCAGTCAAAACAGCTTAGGTCTTGAAATGTGGAAGTAATTCAATCAGATTTGAACTGCAGACTAAATAAGTTTCCTTAGAATGTAATTGTGAAAGTTTTAGATAAGCCATGACCAGAATGCCACATCAACCAATTCTAGCATCCTTATCATGATGCCATAACTTGAAATGGTTAATCCGTATAAAACTAAACTAGTTTAAACAAATTCATCATCACTGACGAAGTCTCTTAAAATGTTACTCACCTAAAGTGCTGCAAGAAACTTTTTTTTAGTCAGTCTTCACTTTTAATCAGCTTTTAACAATGGTTACCTTTTTTGTTACCTCAAGCCTTTCTTTATTATCATTCTTCAACTGAAGATACAATTCTGACAAGTCACAATGGTAAATTAGGACTAACTTTGCCAACTTATGTTGTCTGAATGCATACAACCCCTAAATAAGTAAATACATGACATGTACATATTCCTAGTTCTTTTTTTCAACCTAAAGATCAATACTCGTGCTCTACCACAGTGCATGCAGCACACTTCAGCCTATATAAAGTTACTGAGGGAAGCACAAGTATTGGCTGACGCATTTTGTACGATTAACTGCTGATGCATATTTCTTGAATCAAACTATTCATAAAGTTAGTTTTAATCTATCACATGCATCTACAATCACTCCCCAAAAGGAGATTTCAAAATTGTGTTTGAATGCTTTGCACTCATTCAAAGTTTTGGCACCGAAACCCACCGAATGCAACATAAGTTAACTGACACTCCAATAACAACAAAAAAAAAAAAACTACTACTACGATGGAAATTCATGGAAATTCAGCCTCACCAGTTTGGCCATTTTGTTGCTTCAGGCAATTCCCAATTTACTATACACATGATATAGAAAAGAACAAAAACAACTAGTAGCTCATTCGCAAAGCTAACAATGCAACAAGATGAAAGTCAAAAACCAGCAAAGATGGATAGCAATAAATGGGTCTCTCTGTCCGTGTCTTAGACTTGCACAAGAAAGCACAAGAAAGCAAGATATTAATCGTTTGAATCAACAGATGAATAGGTTTATGAACAATAGCAATACACATGAAAAAAGGGAACACAATTATCAGACAGGCGAAGTCAAGCAAGTTACTTGCTAATGTCAACTCATGAATCGCTTTGGGCGTTTCTTCAAACAATGGTGGAAGGCTTCTAAACTTGGTTAGCAAGACCTGCAAAATGAAATAATAAAACTCACACCACATGCTAATATCAATACTAAACAAAAATAATAACATTAATTGTACACTGGTATAGCAGCTTAAAATTCCTCCTAAAACATCTCTCTCTCTCTCTCTCTCAATTTACGTTTCGACTTGTCCCATGTATGATGTCTATTGAACATTGCTTCTCAGACTAACTTATGCAAATCATAGGCAGATCAAGAAAGAGTAAATTAAAGAAATAAGCAAACTCACTTGAGACCAATTTTTGAAGAAAAAAAAGTGTACTTTTTGGGTTTCGGACAATAAAATTCCAACTATTACTGACATTGAACTATAAAAACGACAAATACTGGTTCAAAACCATCAACGAAACATATACAGATTCAAAACAAAAGCAATAAATAACAAATTTAGGGCTTGTGAACGTGTAACAAAGATTAAAAACATGAAATCGACTCTGATTAAGAGCAAAAGGTTTGAGTTTTGGGGATTGAGTTCAATGCGGATAATGGATTTGTTACCTTGAGCTGAGAGAGGAGATTATCACAGGTATCGAAATCGTTCCGCATGAAAGCGGCTTTGAATCGCTCAAACAGCTGCGAAACCTCTGTGAGATTCGGATCCATCTATCTCTGTTGATTTCTGTATATCTTTATCCAATTCTTCTTCTTCTTCTTCTTCGCAGTTCACTGGTCGTCGCTTTGAAAGGTTCCCTTCTTATTTTCCAAGAAAGGAAGATAAAAGAAAAATTAACTAGGGTTTGGATCTCGGTGCGGGTTGTTCCGATTAACAAAATCAGGTTGACACGGAAACGGGCATTTGTTACGGATCCGTATCTATCTATTTATATTATTATATTGAGGCCAAGTTTGGAAAGTCTCAAAAAAGTCAAAAAGTTAAAAAGTTATTCAAAAAGTTAAAAAGTTATTACTATTTATCAAAAGTCAACAATTACGGCTGCACAACTCTCAATTCTAATTTTCTCCTACAAACCAATTTTTACAATTTTTTATTACACATTTTTCCATAAAAAGTCAAAAAGTTAACCCAAACATTCATATTTTCAACCTCAACTTTTTAGTCTAAAAAGACAAAAAGTGCACTTATTTAGGACACCCCAAACAACCCCTGAGTGAGATCTAAATTTGATTTTTTACAATTACTGTAATGTGTAAATTAAGGTCTCATTTGGTAAGTGATTTTTTTAGTTAAAAAGTCAAAAAATTATTAAAATAATTAAAAAATCAACAATTCATTTAAAAAATTTAAAGATTTCCTTTTCTTTTTATTTTTTACACATATTTTCGTAAAAAGTCAAAAAGTCGTCCCAAACATACTAGTTTTTTTTACATTACATTTTAGCCAAAAATTACTAAAAAAACATGTTCCCAAACGAGGCCTAAATAATTATAAAAGAGAAAATTAGTTTAAAGTTCTTTTATCATTTTTAGTATTGGAAGAGATTCACAATATTATTTTGTGATGTCTAAAGTTCTTTAACTCCACATCCATATCTCATAGACAAGCTTGTCGATCCACACCTTCCTAATCACTTGTGTATTCTTTACTGGTGTTGGCCTGTTAAATCTTACTCTTAGGTCCATCAATCCATCTACAGGCAAGGAATTTTTGATTCAGAAAACCTGACAAGTTCCAGAAGGAGCTCATGTAAGTCTCGCTGCCAAGACCCAAGTTTCGAGGACTAAAGGATGCGCCACGATGGAGGAAATGAGGGAAATCTTTAGTAGAGGGTTTCGGGAGGAAAGTCTCCAAGTCACAAGAAAAATTGATACTCCCTCCGTCCCAAAATATTGGTCCCTTTTGGGGAATCCAACTTTTTTTGGTAGTACACTCATTACATTTGAAAAAAGTTGGTTTTCCAAAATTGCCCTTTTGATAGTACATTTTTTGGGAATATCAATGTCATAATTGTACTTTTTAAATTGTTTATTAATTTAAAAGAAGGGCAAAATAGGAAATTTACAATATTTTTGTACTTGATTTATAAAGAGGGACTAATATTTTGGGACAATGAAAAATGGAATAAGGGACTAATATTTTGGGACGGAGGGAGTATTCATTTTGTTCTAAATGGTACAAAGTAAACCCACTCCTTCTTCTTTTTCTTACACAATTAATTTTATCTAGATCTGCAGTTGTTAGTTCATGAATTTGGGTATTTGTCTTGATTTCAAATTTGTTAACATAATTGTTTACAAATAGATTTGTAGTTGTATTTGTAAAGTCTAGTTTCAAAAATTAACATTTTTGTTCAATTTTGAGTTTAAAATTAACAATTTTGGAACATATGTAGAAGATTAACAAAAATATTAGACGTTCTTTCTTTTGTTAATGTTGAAGTTCTTTCTTTGAGAAGAAATTCCCTAGGAAGAAATTCTCAGAATTTCTCTGAAGATAAATTCTTTGGAAAGCCTAGAATTTCTCTAGAGAATGAGAAGTTTAGAAAAATTGAAGAGAATTTCTCTGGTTTGAATTTAAGAAGATGATGAAGGCTTGAGTTAAGAATTTTTTTCTGGAGAGTGGAAAGTCCAAAGAAATTCCTTGGATTCCTAGAATTTCTCTGGGAAGTCCAGAATTTCTCTAGAGAGAAATTTCTCTAGACTTTCTAGAATTTTTCTGGAGAAAGATTATGATGAAGGCTTGAGTTAGGAATTTCTCTAGAAAGTCCAAAATTTCTCTAGAAAGTGGGAAGTACTCTGGATCGAATTTTTTCTAGATTGATATTGAGTGACTTTAGACATTATAAAAATATTAGATGTCTTTTATGCTATAAAATTTTAATACCAAAAACCTTAAAAAAAATGGGACTTTTGGTGAAAAGCCCCTCTCATTGAGCCTATTTTGTGTGAAGCCCACGGAATAAAACAATGGCCCCAAAAGCCCCTCAATTTAAAAAATATTATGAATTGACTGAAATGCCCTTCTATATAAGTGGGGAAATATGACACAATTCCACCGTTTCTCTGCCCTCACTCTGTTTCATCGATTGAAAACCCTCATCTGAATATCATCATTCGAAAACCCTAGCATCGATTGAAAACTCTTCTCTGAGTCTCATTACTCTCTCTTTCTCTAGAGCTACTATGTCTTTCTACTCCTGCAACGTTACAGGTTCGTCGCTTGCTCTTGAATCAAACTCTGCATTACGTTTTACTCTCTCTCTTGGACACACATTTTGCAGGTGATTTTTTTCCCTTTCTGCTAGTTTTTCGATATTATGAAGTCTGTCTGGGTTTGTTTTCATTTTGGGAGTGGTATATGAGATCACGTTGGCATGGTATGGGGTGGGATTGCAAGGCTGTTAAGGATTTTGTGTTAAAGATGGCCGTCACTTATCCTCGTTTCGTCTTAACCCTTTGGTAATATGTGTGTTGAATCAGTGCTGCTAAAAAATTGTTTATTCGAAATTATTGACATATAAGATTTTGATTTATAACAAAATGTTGTTCTAACAAAATACAGAGGTCAGTCATTTTAACACACTTGTTTTTTTTCTTTTTTTTTTTTCATTGTTGCATTAGAGTGAGTAGAGTTTGGGATTTTGGTTACACTAAGAATCATCTGTTCTAAAATTTTTATCACTATCTTAAAATATTTTAAATTACTAAATCATGTGAGAATGTTAAAGTTTAAAAATTTTGAAAACTAATTTAGGTATTTCGGAACGGTGTATGCAGTTTTGCTTTAATTTCGTTGCTTTGATTTTTGTAGTGTTTTGGTTCTACAATTTCAATACTTTCAATTTCACTTACTTCATGAATTTTTCAGAGTAAAATTTTACTTTCAATCAGAGTAATGAGAGTAAAGTTTTACTTATAAACAGAGTAAAATTTTACTTTAACTCTAGCATTTGCTCATTACATACATGTGCATAGCAATTTGTATATAAGTATATATATATATGTGTGTGTGTATCTATTTATGTATGTGAATGTGATTGTAGTTTCGTCATTTCTCTGATTTCGGTTTGAATGTGAATTGTACATGTTAATTTCAGAACTGTGTTGTGTATAGTCAAAATTGAGACAAGGTTTTCTTGATTCTTGGTTCTATAAATTTTGTATGTGTTATTTCCTAGGGTATATTGTTCAGAGTAAAATTTTACTTCCAATCAGAGTAAAATTTTACTTTCAATAAAAGTAAAGTTTGACTGCCAAACAGAATAAAACTTTACTGTTTCATTATAATGCTTGTGCATTTACTTTAGTGCTTGTTTGTTTTGTCACTTTGTTGTTTAAAGTAAAATGTTACACTGTTGATATAGGGAAACTTTTTAGTGTTTTAAAATGGTTGTTACAAGAAGCAAATGTGGTGATGATGATGATGATGATTTTGAAGTTCCACCAATGGCTATACAAAAGAAGAAAGTCCTTAAAATAAAAAGCAAAAGTAGTAAAGAAGTTCAATCCAATGCTAGTGATGATGAAGGCTGTAATGAAGACAATCCAATGCCTTTAACAACAAAACCTTCGAAGTTGAATATTGTACATGGAGTACGGGGGATAGAGAACTATGTGAAACAATATAGGTCAAATGTTGTTTCATTGATAAACCTAATGCAAGACACAAGGTTCACTGAAAGACACATTACTCCCCTCGAGAGAACACCTTTTGGGATGTTGTTTAAATCTTTTTGGAAGAAAGAAGATGTGGTGTTAAAGAAGTTCAAGAAAGTTGACGATAATGTCATGGATGTGATCAAATTTTATGACTTTTATGCAAAGGGATTTAAGCTTGGAGGGAAAACGTGTGACATACTAGACAGTGACGTTACTTTGATTTTTGGGATAAAATCGGGAACGAAAAAAGTAGACGTCTCATATGGGAAGAAACAAGAATCACCTTTTGTGTAGAGAAGGTTTCGTAATATGTCAAGAATGTCCATAAAGAGTTTGCGAGAGACATTAGGAGATGCGTTAGAAAGCACAACGACAGTTGATGTTGAGGATGTTTCACGAATAATGTGTTTATTTGTTGTGGCAACTTTGATATTACCAACAAGTGGTCTAACAGTTGGATGGGCTTTTGTCACCCTTGTAGAAGATTTGAAAATGATGAATTCATATTCATGGTCGACTGCAGTTGTATCCACGTTAACTACTTTAATCCATTCTTCATTAGGAAGTCCTGAAAATGTAACTGGATGTATACTTCTTCTTTTGGTAAGTAAATTGAACTACTTGAAATATTACGCAATCTATCTTTAGAGAATTAACTAATTTCGATTTTTTATTTAATAGTACCAGTTATGCGAGCACACTACCCTCATTCAACCTCAAGGAAAAAATTTGTATCCAAGGCTCCTTCAATGGGACTTATCAACATTGAGAAAAAAGCTAATGAAGAGGTCATTGTAAACACTAAAGCCCGAAGAGGTATCATCTTTCCAAACTCAGCCTTACTGGTTCACTTTGCTTAAAATTATACTTACATAATAAAATCTTACTCTTGAACAGAGTAAAAGTTTACTTAAAATCAGAGTAAAAGTTTACTTACAATCAGAGTAAACTTTTACTTACAATCAGAGTAAAATTTTACTTACTCTTGAACAGAGTAAAAGTCACTACAAGAAATTACGATTTTAAAGACAAATTTTTATAAACAAAAATAATTTGTCTTTAAAAATTATACTTTTAGAGACAAAATGAAAGAATTTTGAAAAAAATAAAATTTAATCATATTATTATATTTTTAAAACAAAACTATTTGGTTGCAAAAGGTTAATGACTTTTTGTCAACAATTTTGATTCGTCCATAATAAACACACCTCATAATTATTTTA